ATTTTGGATGAATGCAAACAAACCATAGCACTGGCTTTTTTCCTTCTTTTTTCACCCTCACATCAGACAAATGTAACAAGTGCTGAGGATCTGAGGGAGGCACGTGAAAACCCAATCACCATGCTTGTGAACTACAAAAGGATCCCGCAGCATTGGTCTTAAAACACCTGTATCTTTTCTGCGCATTTGAAATTTTTCAAAATAAGAAGTTGAAGGGAAATACAAAAATATTATAGCTCTACCTTAAAAATATTACCTGGGGTTATGGTTTGGTGGTAACCCAGGAAGAGGGAATCACCTTAAAACTTGTTTTATAAGAAGCAGGATTCTAGCTCTGTACATTTTTGTAAGATATTTGGGTTACAGTGCTGTGTGGCCAAGAGGAGCACTTCCAAGGTGATGGTAGAGATATTCAGCAATGAGGTGTGTAGCACTTTTTCTAAGATGTTGGAGAACTTAATTGTCAGACCAATACTTTGTTAAGGACTGAGTTTACAATAACAGAAACTTTCAGGGACGATCATGCGTGTTCTCGGTTATGAAACATGTTCACCAGACTGACACTTTAATTACAACGTCTTTGGAGTCCATGGCATGTCGTCCTTATTAATCCCCAATCAGGGGTTTGAGTCATCAAAATAAATCTTCAGGGTTTACGCACAGAGTTTGTTACGGACCAGCCCTACTTCACGTTTCCGTGAGTATGATATATGACACCCTCTGCCCTTTCACTGCTGATCTGTCTCCAGTTTTTCCAAGCCAAAAGCAAAGCCCAAGATTACAGCAACGTATATTTAAGGGTGTGTTTTTGCAGATGCTGGTTGGGACAAGAATTTGTAAGTGTAGGAGTGGTTAGATTTGAGAACAATGTGGAAACTTCCCTGGGGAAAGCAAACATTTCTGGTGGGACACATTAAAGTTAACGTCTATGTATAACCCTAGCAGTTTTACCACTGAGTGGGTATATGCAGGGTGTGTGAGTGTGCGTGAGGGCGGGGGATCTTCACAAAATGATACGGAAACCTGACTGCGGTTCTTTTGAGATGACTTGAAGGTGTGTCAGAGGTTGGGGAAAAGATGGGAGACTGGATTTCTCTTCTGGAGTTCAGAAACCAAAGGGAAACAATCCAAGACAGATTAATGAATCCATCTTCACATCGGAGAATTCAAAGCAGATACTAATCAGTTTCACCCCCCCCCACCGCCCCCCCACCCCCCGCCTCGCCTTCTGTTTGCAGAACCAGCACTAAGCAGGATTCCCCAAGCTGCACCATCACTCCCCGTGATTCTCTGTCCCAGGAAATTCTCCTGCCTCAGCCACCCCAGGCGCCCCGCGCAGCAGGCAGCACCCTCTCGGGTCTCACAGCCGTTCTGGGCTGCAGCGTGGGGAGGGAGTCCGGGAGCCAGCCAACTCAGGGAAACTTCGTCGCCAGGGATGGTTGGGGTTTTCGGGCTTCCCCAGCCTGCTCTTGTCGCGCCACAGGGCAAGCGTTTAAATGGTGCGGCAACTACCGCGGCGCCCCGGCCGGCCGGGCAGATTCTGAGCTGCAGATACCCGCGCTAGTGGCAGCAGAGCTTTCCACTGGATGCCCCCGGGAAGCGGGCGTAGCCAGCCCGGGGCTCCAGGTGCAGACGGCGAGTGCAGGGAGACTTTGCGCCACGATGCTTTGTTTTCCTGCGGTAGGAACGCCAGGCGGTCTCTTTCCACCAGTCTCAACCCGCCCGAAGCAATAGCTATGGAAGTTGCGGTGGCGCGGAGGGAGAGGGAACCGCTCGGCGCGGCGTCTCTTTTGGATGTGTTTTCTCTACACAGATCACTTCTTTCCTTCTGTGGGTAAGTGGAATCCAGTCTGTAAATAACCCAAGGGTAGAAGTGAAGGCGATGGAAGGGGACTGCAGTAACCCAACGGGTTAATATGTTAAGTTTTCTTAGAGCAGAGAAGGTCTTACCCACCCCCCCACCCCCGACGCCTGTGCAGTCTTTGCCAAATACGCAGTTGAGGAGGAGTTGGATTTGATTTCAGGCACTTGGGGGAGAGGGTGCTGGGATTTATTTACTTTTTTATTTCTGGTGTGGTTTTGTTTTGTTTTGCCCCAAGTTGTCTTTGTCCACATTCTGAGAAAGGAGAATAAAAGTGGAAGTGAGACGTTGGTGCTAGGAAAAGGGAAGGTGAGGCAGGAGGCACCAGTGATTCAGCAGAGAGATGATCCCAAAGGTCAGTGACCAGCACAAGTCTTTAACCCAGACTAGGGAGCGACTAGATTCGGGGCCTGTTCTCCCTACCCACAACTGCATACAACCTAAACCTCTCCAGCGCCCCCCCCCCCCAACTGTCCTGCTGATGCCATTCTGGAGAAGGTCCTGGATTACCCAGGGACAAAATACCTTCTGCTGAGGATCATAGGAGCAATGCTCAATAAATGTTTGTTGATCGGCTGAATGATGATACATCCTAAGGCTGCATTTTTTTTTTGTAAGGCGGGGGGCACAGGAATTTGCCTTGGACAGTGAACTAATTCCTTGATGTTGATCCTAAAAAACAAAGCCCAATTCAAAGGAAGAGGGGCTGAGGTCTTAGATAACGTAATATTTAGATCTTCATTTTCCCCAAAGAACCTATCTGACAGTTCCAGGATTAGATTCATGGTTCCAGGGACCAGATGAGCTCACAAGGTTCTGGCATAGAGAACATGGGCCTTTGGCTTATGCAAACTTGGGTTCGAATCTGTGTACTGTGACCTTGGGAGTGTTGCTTTATCTCTCTGAGCCTTGATCTTCTTATCTGTAAAGGAGGCCAGTTAGAGCGTCCTCAAAGTGATGCAGGGAAGATGAAAGGAGAGAAATATGAGAAATGAAGGGGGCATTCAATAAATGAAGGGGGCATGCCAATCTTGCCTCTCCATCCTCAGAGGATTCAGGAGAAAGGGTATCTTTCTCTGCTGACACCCCTTTCTGACTATGATGCAGGTAAAAACATTGTTTTGCAGTGACTGAGCTGGAGCTCAACTGCTTGTGAACAGCTAAGGAGGAGAGGCTACAGCACAGCTTGTAAGCCTTTTCTAGGGGCTTAGAAGCTGCTCCTTTGACTTCAGAACAGAATTTATTAATACATACACACTGGTGTCCCTGAGGACATGCCTGGGAGAAGAAGAGATTCCTTGTTTGTGTCATTCCACGTGCCACGATCCTCTCAGCTTTCTTCTAGTAGAGGGCAACAGAGCGGGAACAGTCTGCAGGAGGTGATTCTGAAGTACCTGGGGAACCTGCAATCAGATTGGCACAGGTTTTGCCTGATGAGGATCTGCAGAGAACTCAGGGCTCCAGTCCAGCTGCCTGTGGGGTCAGTGACAAAGCACTTACCAACCTTTCCCATAGATCACAGGGGACTCTGTGGACCTTGCCCAGGGAGTCAGAAACCTGGCTGTCACAGTGAGGGAGGGATGGTGAGAAAGATGCTGACCCAGGGCTCCCCAGAAGCTGCAAGGAGCCCTGGAGTGATATGTAATTCAGGGAACAACTGCTAGTGTAGAGTTCCCACAGCTGTCAGGCTTGGGAAGTAGCTGGGGAGTCATTTGCTATTTCATAAGCAAAGGTGATGGCAATCTAATTTGGCCTATGGCACTAGACAGTAAGCCCCATGAGGGCAAGGGCCATGTCTGTCTTCTTCCGTGCCCCCTGACCGGCACCAAGCACAGTGATGGCACGTAGAATGTGTCCGATATATATGTTGAATGAACAATAAATTTTAGTGACCTTATCTCTACGCCAGAGCAGGGACTTAAATTACTTCCTACCCAACATTGCTGCACGCAATTCATGCCTTCATTTATTAGGTATTTCTTGAGCATCTACTACACGCAAGGTCCTGTTGCTGGGTATCCGAAGGAATTTGTCAGCATCATGCATGCTGATGCTTGGAGTGACCCATTCAAGAGCACCTCAGCACCGCTAGGCATTTCTGGAGACTGAGGCCCCCTCCACAAGACCCTGTAGGGTTTCAGGCAGGGGCGCTGAGAGGGGTGGGGAGGAGGGGAACGCTCCAGGGTTAGCCTCTTTCTGGAAATATGACTGGGGTCCCTTTCCACCCGCCCCTACTGCTTGACTGGCTTCCCGGGCTGCGGATTCCCGGAGCTGCCGGGTCTTGGCAACTCTGTTTTCCACTGGGGCCGCCGCGCCTCTCTCCAGCCCCGCTTTTCAGCCTCCGATCTGCCGCCCCGGCCGGGCTGCAGGTAGCTGGGGAAGGGACCAAGGTGCGCCTGGGGAGCGAGCATCGTAGTGTGGGGAAAGCCGAGCCGACGCGGAGCGGTCCCCGAACAAAAGGCTCATGGCTGGCAACAGCCTCCTCGGAGCGCGCGGGGACGTCGGTTCGGTGCTCAAGCGGGAGAACCAAGCGCGGGAGGAGACGGGAGGGGAAAAAATGAAGTGAGAAAAGAAGGAAGAGCGAGCGAGGAGAGGCGACTCCACGAGGCTGAGGTCTGCGGCGAGGCCGCAGCGGCCCTTCCTCCGCCTTCTGCAGCGCCTTTCAGGCAGCGAAGCGTGTCTCCGGCTGCAGCTCTACCGAGCGCGCCGCGGCCGCCTCCACGCCCGCCGGCCGGCCAAGCCAGTAAGTAGCTGCGTGCCCGCCGATCGCTTCGCCGCCCGCCGCGGCTCTCCTGAACGCCCCACCGCCGTCCCCAGCTGCCCCGTGGGCAAGTCCGCCGCGACCCGCTGTCTGGGGCTGGGTGCCTGGGGCTCAGCGCGGCTCCCCGAACGGCGCGCCCCTGCCCAGTGCGCGCCCAGAGCCCACAGTCGTGGCGCGGAGTCTGTGGCGCGCGGTGGGGAGGGTCGCCCTCGCCGCGCGCTTCCCGGGCGCCGCGCCATCCCTGTGTCCAATGGCTTTCGGGGAGCTCAGAGTAGGGGGCGTCGCCGCAGGCGAGGAGCGGCTGCCAGGGTGGGGCGTGTGCGCTCTGCGCGGTCGAGTGAGGCTGACGTGCCCGGCCGGGCGCGCGCCCGGGAGAGTGTGTGCGAGTGTGTGTACCGGAGTGTGTGCGCACACGCCTTCGGGGGCCGGAGTGACACTGCAGTGGGCTTCTCCCTGGCCCCGGCCTTCCGGCTGCTTAGAGTCCAACCGGCCCGCTTGGCTTTTGGGAAGCAGCTTGGCTCTCATCTTCCCAAGCCTTCCTCTCCATCCTTTCGTCCACCCCTTGCCGATCTTACTTTTCCTTTTACCCACGGGACCGCGGCCCGCCACCCTCCAACCGTTGCAAACACCCAAGCTGTCCCCGGTACTCTCTCAAGCTGCTATTTTCCCACCTGTCTTTCTCTGGGATTCCTCCCGGGGCCAGTCCAAGGCTCCCTCATCTTTGGGAATTGTTTTATCCGACCGTTGTACCGAGCAGTGTAAAGCTTGAGGACTTTATTATTATTTTGATTCTTTTCATTTCCTCCCCTTCTGGGCAACGGAGCAATGAAATTTCCAATCGAGACGCCAAGAAAACAGGTGAACTGGGATCCTAAAGGTGGGTATTTCCTACTTTTGGCCGCCCTCGCCCTGCCTGCATCGCCGGCGTGTGCGCGCTTCGCGGAGTGGAAGCACTCTCGCTCCTGGCACCATGTGTCCTGAGGCTGGGAAATGCGCCTGGGAACCCAGCGCGGGTGGGAGGAGGGCGGAGGCAGCGTGGGTTCCGAACCCAGATAGTGCTCATCATTATCACAGAAGCCTGTCCCTCCTGGATTGTCTCAATAATCTATTTAAATAGACCAAACCGGCTGTTGGGTTTGAAATGGCACCCCATCGGCGCTGGCTTCTGACTTTGAGTGTGTGAGTGTGTATGTGTATGTATACATGAGTGTGTGTGTGTGTGTCCTTTGTTTCTGGTGATCTTTGTCTGTCTGACAGATGGGTGGGGTGCCTTCCCCTGGACCTGGAGCTGTGCCGCGTCCCCAGGGTGTCCTCGGTGGAAAAGGTTTCCTGGCAGCAAGTGGGGTTGGACCTGCAGCAGCCGTCCCCGGGGGCGGACCTTCTCGCCGGGTGTACGGAATAATGGAGCCCACAGGGGCCTCCTGAGTCTGCGCTCAGTCTTATCACCAAACCTGGCAGCTAGTTAGGCTTAGGACGGAGTAGAAAGGGGAGGAGGGGTGGTTTGCAAGAAGGGTGGGGTCGGCGAGGGGCACGCAGTGTGGCCGCCAGGGAAGTGGTATGGTTTACACGCTTTTATGAATGTTGGATCGTATTCCCTTGTGCAAAGGGGAGTGATTAAGACAGATTTGTGTGTATTTAGCGTTGGCCACCGTGTGTGTAACTAGCACACAGATGTTAAGGCTTCTCCTGAGTGAAAGCAGAGTAAGTTGAAATCGCTTGCCCAGTTATTACTAGGACGCTCTTGGGCATTTCTCATAACAAGCCCGGCTGAGCAATGCCTCTGTGTGTATTGGGGTTGACATCTGTTTATTCGAGGTGTGTGTTTCGTAAGCGCATTTCTTCTTTTTATCTAAAGTGGAATGAGGAAACCTGCTTATTTGTTCAGTCGATGTCTTATGAATTGACTGGCTGTTGAAGAATGAGTGAAGAGGTATTTTGCCTTTATTAATACCGAAGCTTTTACACCCTAAGCACAGCCCAAATCTTCTATTTTGTCTGTATTTTGAATCTCTGGAAATATGAACGTGTGCCTGGGCTTTTGTGGGGGAGAGATCCCTGCAAAATATATTTATAAATACTTACTTTATACCAAGCACTGGCTTAGGCACTGGAGATACAGCCAGAACAGGACAGACAAAAGCTCTGCCTTCTCAGAGTGAGACAGAGCTAAGTCGTTCATCGCTTGGAAGAGTGTATAATTAAAAGTTTATACACGTCTGTGACGAGAACGTCTGAGTTTCAAGAAAGTGTCTGGTAGAAGAGATTGACAGGGACAAGGAGGAGGTAGTTAGGGAAGGCTTCCCTGAGGAGGTGACAGTTGTACTTAGGGTTGTATAGGGGTTAATTGTTTAAAGAGAAGGGGAACTATTGCAGAAGAGGGAAGAGCAAGTGCAAAGGGCCTGAGGCAGAGGAGGATGCATATATGAGGAACAGAAAGGGGTTTCTCAGGGCTAGAGCAGAGCAAGGGAGCTTGTGTTTTGAGATGTGACTGGGGGATGCACAGTGCAGATGGAGGTAGGATCATGTTGTAGGGTGGGAGGAGGAGGAGTGCAGTCTTTCTCTTAAGCCACTAAAGAGTTTTCAGCTGAGGAGTAAAGTGATCTGAACTAAGTTTCTTTTATTTATTTATCTTTTTTGAGATAGAGTCTTACTCTGTCTCCTTGGGTAGAGTGTCATGGCCTCATAGCTAACAGCAAACTCAAACTCTCAGGCTTGAGCAATCATCTTGCCTCAGCCTCTCACGTAGCGGGACTATAGGGATGCACCACCATGTCCGGCTAGGTTTTTTCTATTTTTAGTAGAGACAGGGTCTTGCTCTTGCTGGACTGGTCCTCTAACTCTCAAGCTCAAGCAATCCACCTGCCTAGGCCTCCCAGAGTGGTAGCATTATAGGTGTGAGTGACCACCCCGCCTTGAACTAAGTTTCAAAACAAGTGCTATATGGTTCTTGAGGGACTAGATACAGTGGTGGCCTGGGCCCGGTGGTCTGATCTGGGCAGGGAGTGGAGAATGGAGTAGGGAGCTATGGAGGATGTGGACTCAACAGGCTTTGTGGACAGACACTATGGAGGGGGAAGAATCAGGATGACTGGGATGGCAGCCAGGGCAGGACAAGTCTTGAGGAAAACCTGAGTTGAGTTCAGTCCAAGGGGTGTGTCAAGTAGGCAGCTGCCTAAACGGTGGGGTCTGGCTCTTCAGAGAATGCTGGCACAGCGGCAGCGCTGCAAGACTGATTTTGTGAAGCTGGCCTTGGCTCTTCACACATATAAAGAACGATCATGAATCTATATGTTCATGTCACAGTGATAAATGCAGGTGGATTTTACACACTTTACAGCCTGACACAGTGAGAAGAAGTGTGCAAATAGCATCTGTGGTTACCACCGATGGTGCTAAAAATGAAAAGATCTCAATAAAAATAACAGCATTTAATGAGCAATCATTGCATGCCAGGTGTTTTATGTACATTATTTCATGCGATTACTTTAGCAATACTCACCCCGAGGGTGTAAGTGTTATTGTCCCATTTGGCACTTGATTGCCATCAGGACATCACTAAGCTGCCTCCCAGTGAGGTGTGCTGACTTTGTGCACATTTGTTCTTGAAGGTGAGGGTGACAGGGGGTGGAGGCAAAAGAAGGGTGTGGCGGGATGGTGGCTTATCTCTATACATATATATATATATATATGTATAGAGTTATGTGCCAGGCACTGGCCCATGCCTTACATATATTAATATTCACAAAATATTTTATAATAATATTCACAAATATCTCAGGAGGGAAGCATTATCCTAATTTTACAGATGAGGGAACTGCAGAACAAAGAGATTGAGTGACTTGCCTAAAGTCGCACAGCTACTAGGTGGTGGGACAGGACTAGAATCTGGGCTCTTAAACACTCTACTGGTCTGTGTCTCTTAAATTATTGGGATCTCTGGCTCTTACCTGGTGAGGGTCCCAAAGCCCAGGGATTGGAGAAACTTGTTGGGAAGAGAATGGATGATGAGGAAGAAGAATTGGAAGAGACCAAACAGAAAAGAGGAGGAGAGAGGGGAGAAATAGGCAGTGAGTCAGCCTTCCCTTACTCATCCCTCTCTCTGCTCATTTATCCAGCCAATAGTGGCTTTACTTCTATGTCTGGTGGACAAGTCACTGACCACTGGAAAGCATTTAGGTCCATTCCTGGGAGGTTCAGGTTTACCTAGACCAAGTGTGGTTGGCAGGGCAAAGATGAAGGGCAGTGTACGATTATGATAGGAGAGGGGAGGGACATTTCACATTATCTAGAGTGTAGGATGTGGCTGTCAACAGACTTGAACCTTCGGGTGGGGTGCTCACGAGGTGTGGAAGGAAGGTGTAATTATAATGTTTTGCTTACAGCCTCATTTACCTGACAGTTTAATAGCATAAAATGAGGGTGGTTGGAGGATAGATTGGTTTTGATTGCACTTGGGTGAATTAAGCAAAGCACCATTGAGAGGTGTAGGTGAAAAAAATAAGACCTAAATGTAAAATGATTAGTCTCTGGTGAGCTGTGGCCTTCCCCCGTGCTCACAGAACAGAGCCGTCAACAAAGAGAGGTAGTGTCTGTGGAAGGAGGTCTTAGTTTTCTAAGCAGAATTCGTGTGCTTTTTAAACCACCAGGATCACTTGTTGATGTTTTTCTGCTTAAAACTGGTATTTGCTTGCTGCTTATGTACATTAAGAGCTTTTAAAAACCAACAAGGTCAGCAAACAGTCTCCTGACTAGAGGCAAACAGATCAATGTGGTATAAAAAACTCTCTGGCTTTGGGGACAAAAGAGTTAGATTTTACAACCAGCTGTAGGGATAATTAGCTGTGTGACTTCAGGTTGCTCATTTACCCTCTCTGGGCTTCACTGTCCTCCCATGTGGAAAGGGGCCATTGACATTGCCTTTGTCTACCTCTTTGACTTTGTCCCTCGCACTTCCCTCCCTTAATCTGACCTTCAGGCCAGTGGGCTTCCTTTTGTTTGTCATATACATCATACTTGTTCCTTATTGGGACTTTTGCATCTGCAGTTTCCACAGCTTGTAATGTACGTTCACACAACTGGCTTCTTTCCATCTGGTCCTCTTGTTAACAAGAGCTTCCCTGTCCCATCTGAAGACACTTTCCCTGTTCCCTTGCCCTGTCACTTTCTATGATGTCACCTGCTCAATTGTCTTCCTGGTATTTGTCAGGATCTGAAACCATTTTACTTACTCAGGGTCACGTATGAAGCCATCCTCCTTCACTAGCACACGAGCTTTTTGCCTTTCCCTGTTTGTTCACTGTCACACTCCCTATACCCCGGGAAGTGCCTGGCACACAGTAGAAACTCAGTAACACTTGGCTGAATGAATGGGTGGCTGGAAGGATGGCTTAGAGAGGATTGAAGCCTTTATATATCACGGAAATTCCAGGACTCCTTTAAGCTACAAGTGGCAAAGTACAAATAAGGAGAAAGGAAGGTTTTCCCTAGGTAGTGGGAGATTGGAAAGGACACTGATATTCCCACTGCCTCGTAGGCTCCTAGCCGGTGTGTCCAACGTGTGGCATTTGGGCCACATGCTGATTTTGTGAGGACTTTTTTGCTTATCTGTGGTGTCAGATGTCACAAAAAGTATGCAGTGGCCTTTTTTTTTTTTTTTTTGAGACAGAGTCTCACTTAATAACACTCAGTAGAGTGCTTGGCATCATAGCTCACAGTAACCTCCAACTCCTTGGGCTTAGGCGATTCTCTTGCTTCAGCCTTCTGAGTAGCTGGGACTACAGGTGCCTGCTACAACGCCCAGCTATTTTTTTGTTGCAGTTTGGCGGGGGCTGGGTTTGAGCCCACCACCCTTTGTATATAGGGCCAGCGCCCTACTCA